TCTCGACATACTTGTTCACATTTCTGTTATTTATTATATTTCCTCTTAGTCAANATCCTTAAATATGTATCTTGATCTTTTTTCTGTAGAATACGTATTCATTTTTTTGACGATTTTAAAAAAAGGGAGGACAGTCGGGTCTACGTAACCAGAACGACGTGAATGCGCATTGAAGTCGGTTGTATTTTTTGCTTAAAATTACTTGTTATTATTGAGATACAGTTTCGCTACTATTTACAGATTTCTCGACATACTTGTTCACATTTCTGTTATTTATTATATTTCCTCTTAGTCAATTATATGTTTAGGACTTACTGTGGGTGCTTTAAGATTCATTTTGTAAATATGTATGTACATATAAAAAACAATTGCGATATTTTATTTTATTTTACATAATGAATTTTATTCGTGCAATTTTTTATGTTTAATAGTTTTGAGAACATTTTTTGGTTCTGTTGTGTTCTTTTATTGCATGCATTAAACTTTTTTACTTTAAGTTATAATGTTGAAGATATGCCTTCTGCCTTTGTCAAGCACTTTAGCTAGGTTCGAAAAATTTAGCATATGCGCGTAAAAGTATAGAGTAGGTATACGGCTGTGTTGCCTCTACATCTTGTCAAAGGAGAATACATATTGGTGGTAATCACGGAATCCATCGAAGTCCGATTTTTCATAAAATCTACGAAAAGGCTATCACTGAATAGGAGCTGTTATAAATGTGTGTATTCAAAGCATACGCTGCGTTCGTAGCTACTCGAATTCAATAGCATTTTCGTAGATTTCACGAAAATTGGACTACGATGGATTCTGTGATAGCCTTGATTAGCTCGTGCGATTATGACTTATGGATCGATTATGGATGGCAACGGAATCTCAGTTGGGTTGCCGCTAGACAGCGCCACTGAAACGAAAATGTATTTTATTATGAATAGCAATAACTAAGTTTCATAAAGTTCAAGGTGATACAAATTAAAAAAAGTTGAAAAAATAAATAAAGTATCTCAATCAAAATTTCCCGGGAGCTACAAAAATGCAGTTGCCAATATAGCGCAACTCAGTTGCCAGCTTTCAGTTGCTAGTTGCCATCTGTAATACCATTTCAGCCACTGGCCAACCAACTGAAAGTCGGTTGTCCTCCGTAATCGACCCATAAAATCGGAAATGAATATGCATGCACGTTCTGCAGAAGGATAAATATTGTGTATATATATATTTAACGATTGTCAAAGGCATGCCAGAAGATGTTTCATCATAGGTTTGCGGCCATCGTCTTCTTCGAGTAGGTTCTTCGTTTCCCAAAACTTTACAACCTCTATATGCCAGCAACCCTTTGTGTTTTTGCCAATGATATGGCACTATTGCACTGTTAATAACCAAATTTAGCCGCAGTTGCATTCACACGTGATATAATAGCTGGTGTCGGCAAGCTGTGGGAATGCCCAGGAGATGGCGTTTGTTCAGCTATCGAAATCATTGCACCGACGGCGGTGGGCAGTACTGCTGGTACATATTTACCACAGCAGTGGTTGGGGCATTTTGTTCTGCAACAATAGCCTGCAATGATGACATGTCCTATAACGTCGACGAACTAAGATATAAAATTGAAAATGACTAACCTTATTCCCGGCTGATTTGGAAGACCACCCTTGGTCACGACCAGAACGCATTTACAAAGAGGAAAACCGCAGGGATTGCAGTAGTTCTTGCAATCACCGTTGATGATGCTGTGCTTGTAACTAATAGTCTGAAAAGACAGAAAATTGCATTAATCAAATGTTAAACACATCAAATAAATAAATTTCAATAATTTGTTTACCATTTCACAAACCAAATTACCAAGAAATAGAAACTCACCGCGATGCGATACAGAAATAAAAACCAACAGGGCTGCATTTTCTTGGTAAACAACACAAGCGCTCAGAGCAATCTGATCCGCAATATTATTTTGTAAAAATAAGAGTAGAAAAGAGTTTCCAAACATGATTATCGCGTTATCTAATTAGCGCACATTATTGTGTTTATTTTTAGTAGAATATATATATAGAAATATGTCAGACTTTTTTTCAAGGTTTTCTAGTATTCTTTATTTTGGCATGCAAAACCAACCGTGCGCTCAATTTCTTGTGGGGAAATTTGGTCCCCATAAAGGACTTTCACCACGAAACAGCTACAAAAACCAAAACCTTTTCTACTGGTATACTGTACTGGAAGGTATTTGAAATGTATGTACATATGTGTTATATGTATACTTCGAAAACTTAACTATGTACGAATATACATATGTACAATTGACTTTGCGCGAAACAGAAGTGAAACGTTGTTAACCCAAATTTACGTAAGTCGATAATACCACTTTTAAAATTATTACTTACATATGCATTTATTTAAAAAAAATACCAAAGTAAATATTTAAATTTTACCCAGAAATTATACGGAGTAGCTCTTTGCTTGAAGAGTAACGCGCCCGCACAACAAATAAGGGCAAATAATATAATTTCTCCAACAATAACAAGCATTTGCAAGCTGACCTAACCTGCATTTTCGAATGGTGTGAAGCAAATTCCATGTCACTAAATTTGAAAAAGTGTAAATTCATGACCTTCTCTAGAAAATCGTTCTATCCAAATTCGTATATGATATCTGACCACAATGTTGAGCAAGTGACCAATTTCATTGACCTAGGTGTAACTATGGATCCGAAACTAGAATTCAAGTCTCACATAAACTCCTGCGTGATTAGGGCTAGAGGATTGTTGGCTTTTCTTAAGCGCTGGGCCAAGGAGTTCAACGATCCTTATGTCACTAAAGTTCTCTTTACCTCTCTAGTTAGACCGATTTTGGAGTATGCATCTATAGTATGGAAT